AAATAGACATGCTAACTTGTTTGACTTCTTTGGAAAATATGCAAAACATTGTGGATTCAAAATAGATGTACATAAAATCTTAAATAAATATATTTGCATTATTAATTAAAGACTTATCCTCAATTATCAGAGAATTAATTGCATCATCATCATCTGGAGAATATGAATTTTAAGCACATGAATAAGTATGTGCATATACATATATTAAAAAATTATCATGTATAAATGTTCTGTAAATTAAAAAAAATAATATCAATAATATTATCATGAAATGTTAGTAAATTACAATTTTTTTAAGTAGTCAAAAGAAATATTAAAATTTAAGTAACCATAGAAATATACAAATACATAGCAACATTTAAAATATTTTTGAGTAAGACATAACACAACTGAAAGTAAGACATTCATCTGAATAATCTATATATTAAGGAATACAGAGTCAGTTAAAATTCTACTACTGAATTATAAGTAATATAAGGTGTTACATATTTGTTGTTAATGACAACCATAAAATTGAATCTGAAATTATAAACTACAAGGAAGTACTGGGAAGTTCTTGTCTCAATCCAGAAGGGATTCCCAACTAAATTCTATTTGGTCATTTAGTCAAATTTGGGGAAATGGGTTGGACTGATAACTTTTCAGTACCTCTTGCATGATGTTCATAAAATAATTCATTCTATATTATTCGTTAGTTCATTTAATAGAATTATCAATGTATTGAATATGATTTTATTGAGGTTTTAGTTCTCAGTTGGATTGATATTTTCAATCAATATCTATCCTTCTTTTGAGATGTTAAAAGAAAATACTTTATTCATAATAAAGATTTATGTTGAATATGATCAACAGAAAATAAATATATTTATAAAGTATTCACAAACATCTGATTTGAATAAACAAATATTTGTTGAGACAACATTCTCATATTTTAACACACTATTTTACAAATAATTTTTAGCTCAAATACTTTTTATATTATTCCTACTCTATTTCAACTTACAAATTAGAAGTGTCTGACAAAGCAAAAAAAAAAGAAGTCAATATTCCATATAAAATGGTGTCATCTTATTACAAACAATTTAACAGTTACAAATAAAAAGATTACCTCAGGTACGGTGAATGTTTCTTCAATTTCCAAAGAGGCATCAGGTTTATCACCTTCAGCAAGAGTGAATGCAATCTCAGCACTAACATCTTCTACAACTTTCTCCTTAATTTCAACTTGCTCTTCGAGATTAAAATCTTCTGATATTGTCATTTGCAACTTCTCTGGTTGAATATCAACAGAAAAATCTGCTTCAACTTCTTTCTTAGCAGAATCACGAATCTCCTCAAAAACAAATTTTGCAGAAGTTTCTTCAGGTACATCTGTTTTCGTTTTCTCTTTTGAAATTTTAGTAACTACAACCTCTTCTTTTGGTTTCTCCTCTATCTTCTCTATGATAGCAGCAGTAGTTTCAACAACTTCCTTTTTGGGCTTCTCTTCAAGTGCAAAGGTTGCCTCAGTATCTTCTGCAACTTCTTCTTCCAGAGCAAGACTAATTTCTGCAGTTTCTTCAGTTTTAATCTTTTCCTTTTTCTCTTCAAGAGTAACTGCAAATTCAGCCTCCTCAATGCTTTTCACTTTTTCTACTGTCTTCTTTTCATCTTTTGTAACTTTGGTAACTACAACTTCTTCTTTTGGTTTCTCCTCTATCTTCTCTATGATAGCAGCAGTAGTTTCAACAACCTCCTTTTTGGGCTTCTCTTCAAGTGCAAAGGTTGCCTCAGTATCTTTTGCAACTTCTTCTTCCAGAGCAAGACTAATTTCTGCAGTTTCTTCAGTTTTAATCTTTTCCTTTTTCTCTTCAAGAGTAACTGCAAATTCAGCCTCCTCAATGCTTTTCACTTTTTCTACTGTCTTCTTTTCATCTTTTGTAACTTTGGTAACTACAACCTCTTCTTTTGGTTTCTCCTCTATCTTCTCTGTGATAGCAGCAGCAGTTTCAACAACCTCCTTTTGGGGCTTTTCTTCAAGTGCAAAGGTTGCCTCAGTATCTTTTGCAACTTCTTCTTCCAGAGCAAGACTAATTTCTGCAGTTTCTTCAGTTTTAATCTTTTCCTTTTTCTCTTCAAGAGTAACTGCAAATTCAGCCTCCTCAATGCTTTTCACTTTTTCTACTGTCTTCTTTTCATCTTTTGTAACTTTGGTAACTACAACCTCTTCTTTTGGTTTCTCCTCTATCTTCTCTATGATAGCAGCAGTAGTTTCAACAACTTCCTTTTTGGGCTTCTCTTCAAGTGCAAAGGTTGCCTCAGTATCTTTTGCAACTTCTTCTTCCAGAGCAAGACTAATTTCTGCAGTTTCTACGGTTTTAATCTTTTCCTTTTTCTCTTCAAGAGTAACTGCAAATTCAGCCTCCTCAATGCTTTTCACTTTCTCTACTGTCTTCTTTTCATCTTTTGTAACTTTGGTAACTACAACCTCTTCTTTTGGTTTCTCCTCTATCTTCTCTATGATAGCAGCAGTAGTTTCAACAACCTCCTTTTTGGGCTTCTCTTCAAGTGCAAAGGTTGCCTCAGTATCTTTTGCAACTTCTTCTTCCAGACAAGACTAATTTCTGCAGTTTCTTCAGTTTTAATCTTTTCCTTTTTTTCTCTTCAAGAGTAACTGCAAATTCAGCCTCCTCAATGCTTTTCACTTTTTCTACTGTCTTCTTTTCATCTTTTGTAACTTTGGTAACTACAACCTCTTCTTTTGGTTTCTCCTCTATCTTCTCTGTGATAGCAGCAGTAGTTTCAACAACCTCCTTTTTTCAGGGCTTTTCTTCAAGTTACAAAGGTTGCCTCAGTATCTTTTGCAACTTCTTCTTCCAGAGCAAGACTAATTTCTGCAGTTTCTACGGTTTTAATCTTTTCCACTTTCTCTTCAAGAGCGACTTCAAATTCAGTTTCCTCATCAACTTTTTCTTTTTCCTCTTGACTTATGCTAAATTCTATTTTTTCACTATCATCCAAAGCCATGCTAAATTCAACATCTTCATCTTCTGGTTCAAGTGTAAATTCTGCCTCTTCAAATATTTCCTCTTGTTCTTCAGTTATTTTACATTTGTCTTCTAAAATTTCAACAGATTTTATCTTTGCAATGTCTTTGGGAACTTCTTTTGCTAATGATTCAATTGCAGTATTAGCATCAGCATCACTTTTGACAATTTCAGATGCAACACCTTGAACATCTTCTCCTGATATGATATCAGTTCTGATAAGGGTAGTTTCTGATTTTGAAATGTTTAATTGTATTTTATCATGAGCACCAAGAATTTTTGCAGTTTCTTCTGGTGTCTGTGAAATATCTGAAAGTCCATTTTCTGTTAAATGTTCTTCCATGATTCCACTTCTGTATTTTGGAATATCTGTCAAACTAGCTTCAAATTTTTCATCAGTTTTAATATCACTAGATTTAATAGTTATCTGCTGTTGCATGGAAATGTCATCAATTTTATTATCTGATAATTTTTCTATGATCACATCAGTTTTCATGAAGGGGATTTCTGAAGAAGTTGGTGCTTTGGTGATTAGAGTTGTTTTTATATCTTCAGTTTTCAACATTTCAATTTGAGTATCAGAAATATCAGATAAACCATTCTCTGATAAATGTTCTTCAATAATTCCAGCCATTGATTTTGAAACTGATTCCATATCAACTTTAACTTTATCTGTTGGTTTTATATCAGAGGACTTCAGTGTTATCTCCTGTTCTTCTGATATAGCCTGAGTTTGCTCTTGAGGGAGTTTTTCATGGATAACTTCACTTTTCATTGCTAAAGGTGCTTTCTCTAATTTAGTGAGTAAAGTAGTTTCAGTGACTTCAGTTGAAGTTAACTTTTTGCCTTCTGCTTTAGTTACATCTGAAATTACATCTTCAGGAACCTGTTCAATCATAATATCTGTTTTAGCTATTGAAATACCAGTTGATTTTATATCTTTGATTATGCAACTGCTTATCTCTTCTTGCGGTACAATTTTCGTTGATTCCGCAGTGGGAATACTAGCTATTTCATCACCAGAGATAGTCTCAAAAACAATATCAGTTTTGATGACATGCTTATCGAGAATTTCAGATTTTTCTTGAGCTTTTTTAGGCAAATCAGTTTCCTGAATAACTTCTGGCATTTGTTGAAGAATGTCACTAACAGCCCCCTCACTAATTTGTTCTATAACTGTATCAGTTTTAATAAATTCTGCACCTGTGATTTTTGCTTTTTCTGTTGCAAATTGCTGAGTCACATCTAAAACAACATCTTGTGCACTTCTTTCAAATGCAATATCAGTTGTAACATCTTCAGAAGTGTCTTCTTTCATAATAATAGTTTTTGTCACTATGCTCTCAGCTAATTTAGAATCAACTGTAATTTTTTCAACAACACTTGGAGCAATACCTTCTGGTAATTTTCCAGAATAGGATTCAGTTGTTTGTTCAGGAACATGTTCTAAAACAACATCTGATTTCAATTCTCTCTGATCATAAACTGTCACTTTTTCTGTAGGCTTAGCAATAATATCAACATCTATTTTTTCAGGTGATTTTTGTTTAATATCAGAAACAATATCTCGAACAATTTCTTGTTCAACTATACTTGTTTGAGTAAAAGGTTGTTTATCTGGCTTTACAACTTCCATTGTTTTTTGAGAAATTTCCTGCATTGTTACATCATGTGCTTCTTTTTTGGCAATGTCTACAAGAAGGTCAGTTGGAGTTTCCTCCTCAATAACATCACTCTTTATAAAGAAAGACAGAGTTGATGCGGTACCCAAAGATTTTTCTTCCACCAGGCTACCAATTACTTTTTCTGGTTCATCTTTTGTTATCAAATTACTGATTTCATCTTCAGTAACTACTTCTTCAACTGTGTCAGATTTTACAATAGATCTAGTAATCTGGGAAGTTTGTTTTTCAGTGTCAGTTATTGTTGAAATCTGAGCAATTTCTTTTTGTGTTTGCAATATATCCTCTGTGGTCAAGTGAGGCACATCTTCTCGAACAACATCTGTTTTAACTGTTGCCAGTTTAGTTGATTTAATATCAATAACCATGCTTGGTATGCTAATACCAGTAATCTGCTGACTTTTAGTATCTGTGATATCTTGCAAGACACCAGTAGGAATATCCTCTGAGATTATATCAGCTTTTGTTTCATGGAGAATATGAGATGTTACCATTTCAGGTTTAGCTTCAGAAATAATTTCCATAATCTTCTTTTGGGCTGGCTCTTCAACTGTTTCAGGCTTTAATAAATATGTTCTATCATTAAACTTGTTGTTTGATTTTGATAAAATACATTTACAAACAACCAGAGAACAGCAGTTCATGCAAGCCTGCACACAAAAGTGGTATGAGGATATATGGTCGTCACAAACACAGAGAGACATGTGTACATATGTCAAAGACTGATGTACAAAAGCAATAGTTGCATCAAACGCATAATAGTAAAATACACATAAACTAAATTATACTCTTTTTCATGCAGGTTATAGAACATATATCATGCTCTACATAAATATAAAATGTAAATATAATTGGAAATGTTTATTGGAATCAAAACTAACAATGTAATGGATTGCCAATAAAATCAGTCCTTGTCTTAATTTCAAGGTTAAGTGATTTCAAGTAGAAAACCAATACATTATAAATATACATTATACAAAACCTCTGCTTTATAGTTCTTCCTGAAGCTAAGCAGATGACAGTTGTTCATGCATGATGTAAAAAGCAAAACACTTCACAATAATATAACAAAACAAGAATTTCAATTACAAATATTACCATTTATAGAAACAAACATATTTAAAAAGGTGCCTTATACAAATTATCTCTGGAGTAATGACTGTATTCTTCACACTTATGCAAAGTTTAGGTTGCTTAAGTTTTCAGTTGTAACATATTTAAATATACTATTGATAAAAATAATACTATTGCATATATTTATGGCTATATATATTGATGAAAATTAAAATTGCAAAACCCTGAAGTATGATGCCAATTTTGACCTGGGTACAGTCAGTACATGCTAGGGTGTTATAAATATTCTGATAAAATTTTCAATTTTCAGCTATATTGATATAGTAACTCACACCAGTAGGTGATTGTACCTGAGATTTAGATGGGGACACATGCTACAGTACACTTGTGTGGTGAAATATTCTAGTGCAAGCAGATGCCATGCCACATACATACACATGTTTCTTCTGTTCAATTAGATCCATACGGGAAGAGTTGGATTCTGAGTCTTTGAGAGGATGGATGATAATTTTGGCAGATTACTGTGCATGTTAGATGTAACATGTTGGTGTTGGATATGTAATATAGACAATCACAAAGATTGATACCTTGTAAGGACAGCAGTAGCAGACTGCACTGATTGAATTAAATATGGCCCTAGAAATGTCAATATGGACTACTAGGAATTGTTTACTTGGAGTAGGGCTACAGGCATGTCAGATTTCAGCTTATACCACAAGACCATTGTACATATCTCCAGTGGTATTGTTAGAAGGTCACTGGGGAAATCGAATGGTGCTAAGTAGTATTCAATGATGAAGGCAGGTTCTACTTTCATACAAGTGATGGATGTTTGCATTTGCAACATAAATCTGGGGCACAACATTCACAATATATTCACCCATGATAAACAGGTTCAATCCTTAGCATCATGGTACAGAATGGGATAAGTTACAACTCTCACTTGCCTTTCATGTTTTTGGATGGATCATTGAACAATACCATGTACATCTAGAATATTGTTCAATTCATTATACTACAATCCTGTAATAAGAAGGTGAAGCAGGTTCCAGCAGGATAATGCCTGCTGATGTGATGCCTGTGCTTGCAAAATGTTTGCTGACTTCCCTAAACAGTATAATTGCTAAATTTGTCCCTTACTGAACAGGCATAAGACATGATGGGACAATATCTAACTAGTTCAGTTAGCCCACTGATATTGCACCAATTGTTGCATTGCAAGAGATGTGGAATTATGTATTGCAATATGATATTTGCCATGATCATTTGCATATGAGGCTACAGGACTGCATTAACAACCTGAGAGGATATACAATGTATTAATATAGGGTCTGAGTACTATTAATAAACCCCTTATTTTGGAACATACTGATCTGCATATGTGAACATTTACTGTAAACAAGCTATATTTAATACTTGCATGTTTAATCTTGGTTGAAACACAAATTCAAGGTGTTGCAATTTTATTTTTTGTAGTGTGTGTGTTTATATATATATGTTTTATTTGGACAACTTTTGCATACAGCAAATATATGCCAACAAAAAGTAGTCCTATATTGTAATATAGGTATTCAAATATCAAAAAAAACTTAAAGTTAGATTCTTTATGCCTAAGTTAACTGGATTAAAAATAAATTTAAGTTAAATACAGGTTTTTTGGGAAATCTAAGATTTTAATTGTTCAATTCTCAAAATAAAAATAAAATATTTTTTCAGATTTCCAATTTATAATGTTTCTTGTACACTTGGAATAAAGCAGAATTTATGATCAAATAATAGGAAAAATGTATATAGTGAATAAACAACTGTTTCCATTTTTATTAATACAAAATGAATAATTGGCATAAAAATATCTTCATTCATATAGAAAAAAATATTCTTTTCAGCTGGCAGCAATTTTTATGCTTTATGTAGATGTATATATCATTTTAACATACTGGATATTATTTTGAAAACAATAAATTGATTAAAGTTTTAAATTTATAACTCTAAAACATTCTAATAAGCAAAATAATAAAAAAAATTAACAGTAAAATAAAACTGAGAGGCACCAAATTCACAATTTTTACAATACTATAAAACAGTAACATATTCACTTACAAATACAATTGATACACTGAACATATATACATAAGTATACATAAACATAAAAAGCAATTAAAAAGCTTGAACAAAAAACAAACAGTTAGAAGAAAATTAAATGCAATATAGATTATTTAGCACAATACTGTAACTGCAACAAAGACATATTTACAGAACAATTAATACAGTAAATACAATTAACAGTAAGCTTAGACATACATGTAAATACATTTAAAGCATAAAAATTCAATAAAACAAATATTTAATTAAAAAAAATAATGTTTAATCCTACTTTAGAAACATCATGGTATATGGTGATAGGAGGAGTGACAAGTTCTTGGCCTGATCAGGATATGAACAAAAAAAAAATGATGTTTGCTCATTTGATCAGATTTAGGGAAATGGATTAGTCCAATCCAAGAAGTTCTCAGCATCCCATATATATATGTTTGTCTAGGTGTGTGTATATATATATATATATATATATATATATATATATATATATCCTTGTACCTACGTTTTTTCTTATCTTCATCAAAGCTCTCCAGTTGTCATCAGTTTCCAAATAGGTATTTATGCTGATAACAACAATTTACTCCTGTCTTTGTAGTAAGTCTGATAAGTCCAACAAAGTAAAACTGACATATGCTCTCGAAAATGACCTCCAATCAGTGGTTAACTAGGGCAAAGAATGGCTTGCAAATTTTAATGCTTCCAAAATAAAATTGCTATCATTTAATCATCACAGAGAACCTTTTCTGCCTTCCATCAGCATAGCTGATGCTAACCTCCAGGACAGCAACTCTTTGCACCTTCTTGAGCTCACATTTTCCACTGACATGAAGTGAAGTGCTAACATTGAATCTGTTGCTAGGGAAGATGGTTCACTGTGTTATGTTAGACAATTTTTCTCATCAGAATCCAATGGCAATTTCTCTGATGAGCTTTCCTTGTTGATACTTTGACTGCATGAAGTTAAGCATACTACTAGAGTGGAAACCAGGTCTCACAGTTTTACTGTTGAACTAGCTAGATATAACTAAGTTCTATTTTAATTGGTTCTTTTCTTGCAATTCTCATCTATGGAACTCTGTTCTGGTTTCTTACTTCCCTGCCAACTATAATCTTTAAAAATTTTAGCACAACACAAATCACCATCTTCTGTTTTTCTGAATCCTGTTCTTTTATTGTCTTTTCTCCTCACTAAAGTCTTCTAATTCTCTTTCACTCCTAGTAACCCTTTACGTCTTAATGCCATTAATACTTTGCTTGGGGTGAAATTATTTATATATATATATATATAATTAACAGTAATATAATAATCTATTAATAATCTAGAAATGTATTGATGGTATGAAATAATAGGAAAATCTTTACTCATAATCAAGCTTATAAATTATGTAAAATGATAACTACAATCACAAATATCATGCAAAATTTATTTTGCCACAAAACAAACACAGACATTTGCTGGGATTTATAAGCACATAGTTAACAAACAATTATTTTTTTTTACATTATACATGTTTTTGTGCAATAAATTTTAACTTAATGGAATAAGCAGATAAAAATAGTTAAAAAAAACCCTTCTATTCCTGTATATCCAACTCTACTTTTAATTCTTTCATCTCACTACTTATTTTCTACCCCTAATAATTTTGGTACATCTCTTTCACCTCCATTTCTTGAAACTCCAGCCCCCTCCCACAACCATAAACTCTCTCTCCTATAGCATTTTTCATTCTCCCATACCTACAATCTCTTTCATACACACTCAGATACAAGCACAATACATTTCCTATAATAGTAAAAATAATATTTTTGAAAGAGTATAAATATTTAAAAAAAGAAAAAAAACTTGTCTTTGTAACACTTTTATACATGGTTATATCCCTTGTTTTTAAATGTAGTTTCAGTTGAATAAAATATGGTGGTCAGCTAACACTTGTTGTTATCTCTCTCTACAGTATTATGTGTGAATCATACTAACACTGGTAGCAAGATCAGTCTTCTTTCATTTGACAGAAATGCTTCTTGTTCAACTTATTTGAAACACATTGGAAAAAAATGGCTTTTCTTTTGAAACTGGCCACCTATTTTGCAAGGTGAGGACTTGTACACAGAATGGAAGCAAGGTATACAGATTTGGCCGCTATACAGACTTGCCAAAAGACAGAGTCCAGCAGTATTTTTATCATTGCCTCCAAACATATGGGCATGTATTCAACATTTAGCCATAACGGACATCAGCCGAGGAGATGGTTTAAAAATGATTACAGACAAACTGGACAAGATTTGTTTATGCAACATGAACATGATAGCATATATGGCTTTAAAGATTTTTATTCTCACAGAAGAATGACTAGAACTAACATAAACAACTTTTGGTTTGTTACAAGTTTTTGTATCAGAAATTACAAAATTTGGAATCAACTTGCCAGAAAGAATTCAGGCCTTTTTTTGTATTAAATGTGGCAAACATCTGGAAGTCTAACTTATACAGCTATGAAAGATATGTTAAACAAAGTCTTTGCTGAAATTTCATCATCTGAACACCATTCTAGCTATTAAAGAGGAAACTGAAATGGTGAATTTTAACTGATATAAAAATAACAAAAGGCAAAAAAGTTACCAAAGGAGTTATTGTGGCAATAAGTTGAATCCCACAGAAAAACAAGGTAAAATTATGTGGTATTTCAAATACTACTCTACTAAGCATTTTGCTAGAGATTGTTCTAAGAATGATGTTAATGTTGTCATTGAATCAAACCAGGTACATATGACCATATTTAATGTTAATAGACCTTATTGGACATTGATAAATGATGCAACGGTTTCAGACTTTATGTAAAAATGTCTAATCTTGTAAAAGAGACATTTGGTATGGTAGAATTAGACTCTACTTGTTCACATACAGTTGCTGGAGAAGTTTGGTTCAATGTAATTGTTGACACATTAAGGGACTGAGATAAAAATCTAGTGAGGATTTAGTCTAACATGACCTTTTGTTTTGGAGATGGAGGTAAAATTCACTAAAGTGATTAAATTTCCTTTGACTATAAACAGTGTAAAAGGTGTCAGAGCTTATATTAAAACTGACATTGTCAAAAATTATTTATCCTTGCTACTAAGCCACAAATCAAGGAAAACTCTTGGAATGGTATTGGACTTTAAAAATGACCGCTGTTGGATTTTAGGTAAATCTGTAAAAGTGACCACCACTACTTGTGGACACCACAGTCTTCCTTTAACTAACGTACTTTTGGAGGTTGGAAAATCACTTAACATAGTGTTGAATGTTAAAGCTATAGATAAATGCTCTAGGGTGAAGAAAAGGAAGGAAGGCTGAGAATCTACAAAGGCAATTTAAACTATATCAAAGGATAAACTGATATCCATGGTTAAAAGTAGTAGAATTTTTCATAAGGAGTTTCTGGATCTAGTCAGGGATGTCTGTGATTCTTGTTGGTTTTGCTTGAAGTTTAGAAGACTTTTGCTTCAACCAGTGGTAGTATTGCCTCTTGGAAACAAGTTCAATGACACAGTGTGTCTGGATCTAATCAATATTGGATTCTACACCTAATTGCAAGAGCCACTAGGTACTCTGTTGATAGACTAATTAAAACCAAAAAGAGTGAAGAAATTATTTGCAATATATTTTTTAATATGGATATCCTATTTTGTAGCTCCTAAGTGGTTTTTGAGTGACAATAGGGTACAGTTTAATAATGAAAGCTACCGACAAATGAATGAAAAGTTAAACAATGAAATCTGCACTACTGCTGAAGAATATCAATTTAGCAATGGTACAATCTGATAGTGGCTGAAGCAATGAAAAAAACATTAGAAGATGAAAAATGTGAGCCAAAAATAGCTTTGGCTGTTAGTGCCAAAAATTCACTTCAGAATCACTCAGAACAGTTCTAATGAACTTGTATTTAGTTTCAATGTAAACACACCCTCAATTTTAACTGATCAGTTACTAGAATCTGCAACAACCAGTGACATAGAGTAAATTTAAATTTAAATACTCTACTTGCATCAGGAGAAAAGTTTATAGAAGCTGAGCAAGTGAAAAAAACCTGGTCCAATGTGAAGATTCTTGACAATGTTTATTATAGAAGACAAACTACAAAGGATGGTGTGGTCCTACCAAAGTATTGGATAAGGAACATCAGTGTTTATTGGTCAGACATGGAGGAGCATTTTACAGGATGCATCCATGTCACTGATGAAAGTAAATAACAATAAGTAAGAAACAAAAAAATTGGGAATCACAAAGAATAAAAAATATAAAAATTCATCTAATGAGATAAATGGTATACTGGATGAGGAAGATGAAGAACAATAATAACAGACCTAATGGTAATATTTAGGAGTTGAAAAACAATACTAAAAAATCAAGTACAGACAAGGTCATGGAGTATAAAATAAGTGGAAGTGATGAGTGGAGAAAAGGAAAGATTATGAGTACACAGACAAAATCAACTGGAAAATATAGATGTTGGCTGAATATAATACCAGTGAAAGAACATGAAGATCCTGTCTGCATTAATTGGAATTATGCGAATCAATGGAGTGAACTACCCCAAGTGAGAGATGAAGTAAATAACCAAAATAATCATGAAGCTATATGTCTTGTAATGTTAACAGCTTCTGTTATGAGTTGGCAGGCTGAGACTTGATTTAACCTCAGCATTTCTACAGAGTTATATATGCTGGAGAGAGATAGTGGTGTTTCTTAGAGCACCATCCAGAATAACAAGTATGAAAATTTGAGATGCATCTATGGAATAAATGATATACCCCAGTTATGGTACAATAGGGTTAACTAAGAATTATATAATCTAAAAGGAATAGCAAGTGACTATGATAATGCACTACTTCTTGATTGGTATTCTGATGATGCCTGTGAATGATTTTATATTCTGTGGAAAGTAATCATTTGCAAGACTGACAACGTGTCGCTGAGAGAGACTTTAAATGTCTAATTAAATTAATTAAATCTTGTGAGTGATTGGCATCTGAGAGTTGATGTAGCTAAAGTAAAAGAAATGATAACAAAAAAAGAAATCCAAACTGAATGGATCAGGGGTTGTGAACTGATTGCAAATTTCCTAACAAAGGCAGGAGCCTCTTTTAAGATTCTGAGAGACATATTGCTTCAATAACTATTTTTATATTTTAATACAACTGTGGCTTTCACAACAATACACCAGCAATATTTAAGTTTGAGTTATCTAACCTCATATCACACTTACACACATTTGTATTGCTTGTTTTTAAATATAGTCTCAGTTGAATAAAATATGGCAGTCAGCTAACACATGTTGTTATTACTACAGCATGATGTGTGAACCATATTAACAATAATTAGATGCTATGAAAAATGTTTATCTATATGCATACAATAATTACTGACAACTTAAATTTATTGCACATAAAATACAAAAACAAAAGGCATAATTTTATTTGTACATGAGATAATGTTATAAAATTTCTTTAACACCAAAAACATTTAAGACATTTTTTTAAATTCAAAAATAAATTAAACCGAATCAATAGAATTATAGTAATGTTGAAATTTTAGAATATTTTTACACAAGTTTGCAACGTTAAAAAAATATAGCAAAAGAGTATGTATAAAATATATTATATTTAGTATATTTGTATAATATATAATATATCATTGATTTTCATTTTAAAGTATTTTTAACCATTTAAGTTTTATATAATTACTAAAGGAATTTTAATGGTAAATAATAGCAATATTACCTGCACTAATTCCACTGTTTCTTGGGTGGCAGTTACAGTAGTGATTTTCTTCATTTCTTTTCTAGTCTACAATAAGAAACAAAGAAAAAAATAGCCATAGTTTGAGAAAAATAATTTATCTCAAAATTATTAAGAAAAAATTCTAAATTTTTCTTTTGTCCTTAATTATTTTGACAAAATATGATCATGCAGTTCTTTTTGATTTGCTATCTAAACTTCAAAATTTTTACAGACATCTGATTAATTTATTATATAAAGTTTAATTTAAACAAATTAATTCTTATAAAAGCTACTTTTCAGAACTTTTACCATATCATAATGTGAACATCGGCACAATTAATAGCAGTAATGATAATAAAACATAGTTACTTATCAAAATAGTATTAATGTAAAGCTAATCAGTATGTTTTTCTGTGCCAATTTGTTACCTTGAATCCTCTAAATGCAGCTTGAATTTTTGTAGCAGCTTCAGCAGCAACAACTTCCTCTTCATCAGAAAATTCTGTGAAAACATTTTATCAAATTTAATTAAATAGTAGTATCAAAATCCTTGGTTTAGATAGGATACACAAACCAACACAAATATACTAAATTTTAATTAAATTTCTAAGTAAATCAATTACTTTTTAGAAACAATGCATTAATTCCATTTCCATCATAGTTGTCATTTTATCATGTGTGTAAAATGAACAATAACTCAGTAAATAATAAATATTATATGGTCTCTATTATTTATATTTTGTCACTATATTTAGGTTGTCTAAGAAGAATGTATGAATAGTATTGCAATTGATTAATCTCAATATCTTCATATTAATTAAAGAAGTTTTATTCATATACTTTTAATGGCTACAATTTCAAAAACAATTTTCAAATTATTCTTAAAACCTAGATTTACAATATATATCAATAATACCGCAGGATAGTCCAAGATCAAGCAACAGATTTAATGACATAAATATTGATAATGCAAAATTGCACCCCAAGTACTAAAATGTTAAATCATCAACTTACCAATAACATCAAGAACACAAGAAGATTGAGCTTCACCATATTTATTAAATGCTTTTACTGTATATGTTCCAGCATCTTCAGGATATACTTCCGGGATCATCAAAGTAGATTTTCCTTGTTCAGGAATTATATGATAAATTTCTCCATCCTGAATAGGTGAGCCATTAAATCTCCATTCAATATCAGGTAATGGCTGTCCTTTGTAAGTACATACAAAAGAAACTGATTCTGCTTCATCCACTGTTTGATTAAAGAGGAAGATTTCAAAAACTGGAGCCATATCACCTGGTTTTTTAACCTGTAAACCGAATACCAAAGATAATATAAGAAGTTACAGATCAATAAATATTTAAATTAAATGTTGCTTTAATCAGTATTTAAATATGGAAAGAAAATGAAAAAAAGAATCTTTCCAAATACTTCTCTAAACCAAAATGATCCTTAGTCTGCATTGCTCTATGAAAGCTTTTGAAATAAAATATTATCCCATGAAATCTCCCAATATTTTATAGATACAAGAATTAATGTAATTTTCTTTAATGAAATCTTATCCATGATACTAACAGATCAATCACAATGAGCAAAAGAAAAAAAAAATGAAAAATTTTTGAAAGCTTTATGCTAAACTGAATAAATACCATAGGTGAGATGAATTAAATTAAAAAGCATATTATCAGTTTATAAATAGTTTATACATATAATTTTTACAAGGTTAATGTATTATTGTTTAAACACATGGAAAAACATTTTTCTGTTTAAACAGTGACAGAAATATCTAAACAAATTTAACTTTTTTAGATTGTTTCTTTAATTAAAAATTTACTTTGTGTTAGGGTTTGAGATATAATGTTAGGTTTGATAGTGGAATAAATGAATCACTAATATTATCATAAGTTATAACTACAGTATTATCAGCAGCAAGACTCACATGGCTTTGTTCTATCTATCTATCTATATATATATATATATATATATATATATATATATCAACTTATATGTGTGTGTGTGTGCATTTGTTTAAAAGTTGCTATATTTTTCAGGGAAGAGTGATTGATATCAGGATAGAACATTTGTATGTGTGAACATAGGGTTGAACATTGCATTGTGACTGTCAGTTTTACAACATAGGCGATCATCAAACCAGGTGTTAAACTGACAGTCACCATGCAGCATTGATTTCTATGTTTACTGTTTATATCTAAGAAGGTTCTAGCATCATGATCACACATATTTCTATATCCTAATATGCTTAGTTAGCATATATGGTAACACACAAACTTAATCAGAAATGTACAATCACATTAGTTTACACTCAAACAACTTTGAATATGTATTTAATTTGAGTAAGTATACAAACCTCAATAACAAGTGCAGATTCCTTCTCAGAAATATCTCTGAAAAAATAATATTCATATGTTCATGAAATACTTTAAACAATAAGTAAATTTTATTTTGAAATTTCTCATTTCTTAGTTAATGCACAGGGCTTAATAGGAAAATTACATGTCAAGATATATGTAATGATATGGAGTTTATTCAATTTTTTTCATAGTGTTGTTATTAGTTTTTTTTTTATTATAGCATGATTTACTACAGATTTTAAAATAAATATTAATATATATTTTTCTTGAAAGAAACAATTTATCCTAAAAGTTAATATTTTAATATACCTCTTAAGACTGCAAAAAATTAATTAAAAATTAGATAAAGTATATACATACATCAGCTCAGAAGCGTCAATGAAATCATCGTAGTCTTCTGTAATGAAAATACATACATTCAATAATATTTAATAAAACTGTAATAAAAACTTACTAAAACTATTGTTGTCTCACTGTACCTTAACAAGAATTATTTTAACAGGGATGAGATTTATGAAGTCATAATAATTTTTTAAATATCAAACTTGAATTTAATATTGAAATCTACATATAAAGTAATTTATCTGATAAGTTTTTCACTTTCATTGAAAATATTTGTAAAAAGTTGTAGCTTTATGCAAAATGTATTGTTGCTTTTAGTAATTTAGATAAAAATTAGGCAAATAATAACATATAAAAATAATATGAACTAATTTATTTTCACTGTTCTTTGTTTATACAAATTCATAAAGAATTATAAATGTAATAATTAATTGTAAACATCTTTGAATGATTTCAAACAATGATATATACCATCATCAATGGTAAGTTTGACAGTAAAGGAATCCTTGCCAGCAATATTACTGATCACAACTGTATATCTGCCAGAATCCTGTACACCAATATCATCAATATTCAAGCAGAGATTATACATTTGAGCTTCTTTATTTACATCAAAATGATAACGCTTTTCTTCAAGATTAATCCTGGAACCATCATGGAACCAAGTGAACTGGAAAATAAAAAAATTAAATTAACAAAAAAAAACAAACTTCAGCAAAATTCTACAAAAGAATACTAATCATTAAGAGATTTAATGACAAGAAATTTAAGTAAATTTATACTTACAGTTGGTTCTGGATTTGCCAGAACAGTATATTCAATCTTGGCATTGGTATGCTTGTCAGCTCGTATTTCTGAACTTGGCTTCTTTATAAATGATGGTTTCATAACATCAGTAATTTCTGATTGTGCTTCTACAATGACAAAGGTTTGAGTTTTTTCTCAGGAAAACTATACTTTTTTGTGAACTTTATCAAAATAAAGTCATATTTTACAAACAAAAAGAATAAATAATTTTATTCTTTGCTTGAAATTTATTGTAAATGTATATCATTCTAATGGATATCACATTTACACTCAATTAACTATTCCATTAACAGTCATAGGAGATAGCTTGTTGAACAATATAGAAAGAAACTTACATGAGAGAGCTTAGATGATTCTTAGACAATTCTCAGATACTTCTCATAAGAGATAGTTACCAAGAGTTAGTTACAGAGAACCCATGAGATTTACCATGAAGTGATATACAACATTGGTTCCAAGAAATTTCAACAGCAGTAAAGATCTTTACATTTCTAAAACAACAATGGTATAGAATACACTCATTATCATTTTTTTACCAATTTATACTTCCATTTAAACTCCATGAAATTTGAGAGATTTATATATATACCAGGAGTACAAGCATAAAAATGCAAAGAAAACAAAATGTCATTATACAATTACTCACCAAAATAACTTGTGTCTTCTCTTTTGAGAACTTTAAAAACAGAAAAAATAATTTATGTAGCTTATTTATTTATAATTATGAACAACAACAATTTATTAAAAATAAATTCACATGATTTATTGACTATGCCTTGATTTAAAATAATTAAGATGAATAGAATTATAATAACAATAAAAGATTTTTTTTCATAAGCTATCATTAAATACCTGAAAGGAAGGGAAAATAAAAATGTTTTAAAGAAATAAATTATACTACACTAAGTCAATTTAAACAGAGAATATACAATATAAATTACTTTCTTCTGTCACAAGAACAAGCAATACATTAACTTTATTTGAGGTTTCAACAAAATCAGAAATATGATCAGAAGATATAAGCTGATTTTCATTTAAGTCATAAAATCTAATAGTTTTTGCTTTTATACAATACAAATTCCAGTTGAAAATACATTTATAAAGTACAGTATGAGAAAATTTTATTAAAAGTTATTTTCTATTTTAATCGTTCAATTATAATCATTTTCAACATACAGCTCTACAGCACACATGCTCATGTTAAATTATTAGTTAATTAAAATAGTTTTTTTAACTTTTCAGGCCAAAAGGATATAAAATAAATGAATAAAAAAGATACAATAAAAATGACTATGTAAATAAAATGTGTTTGTGTATCTTTTTATTAAGCAACATTTATTTCGTTTAAGGAATTAGGTGACAGACTTTTATTATGTTGAATTATTCTGAAGAAGACTTGTAAAAGATTTCCATGTTCCAACAGATAACAATGACAAGTCTCCATCTATATTACTCATGGTAATACAGTTCTACATATTGAAAAATCAAACTTTTCCAAAAGCATTAGTTTAAAGATGATCAACAACCAAGATTTTAAAGTGTTTCATCAGTTTCATTTTCCTGTATACAACTCATATGTAAAATTTAAATTTATTGCTCTTTTCTTATATGGCTACTGATCAAAGAGACCTCAGAGTTACTTAAAAGCAGGATAACAATTTTAAATGATTACAACTACATTTGGTGCATGTATCAATAAACATTTAATAAATTTACAATTGAATAGTGTGCAATTATAAATTAAGATACATGATAGCATCTGAAAACAATAAATGTGGAGTTACAGTGCATTTTAACATTGAAAAGCATATATTTCAATACACTGAAAGCCAAGTAAAAAAAAAACAAAAACATTTCAAAACTGACATATAATATATTAAACAATTTCTGAAGACAAAGGACAATGTCAAACATTATTAAATATCACAGATGTTTTCAATAACAGGACAATCACTTTCAACACACTTAACTTACAAATCAATTAATTTGTGTAATTAAAATTAAAACATAGGATTAAGCCTTTATAATTGTGAAAATGTTTTTGTCATTGAAATATAGCTTCAATTACAGAAGAATTTTTTTTCAGTAGAATGAGTAAAAATTTCAAATAACTAAGTAAAAGATGAAGATGAAAATTTAGAAAAATGATTTTCAATTCATAAATTTTTAAAAACTTAATTTTAACTTAGTTTATAATTCAGTTGAAATAATATGACTAAATTTGAAAAGACCTTGGTGCTAATTATAGTAAAAAACAGATGAAGAAAAAGAAGATACCTGATGAATAAATGATATATGAAAATACAAATGGAAAGAAATACAAATGGAAAGAAATACAATTTTGTTAAAGTAGCTACATCTGCAAGATATAATTTTTTTTACAAAATTTAAAATGTTAACTTGAAACTGTAATAAAATTATTTGTTAATTGCTATCAGAACTATCAAAATGTCCAAGTCATTTTGACATTTATTAAGATAAATGTCTTATTTGGGCTGGTGAAGCTGGTATAACTGAAACTGTAAAAAAACACCCTTGCCAAAGAAAAAATAAAAAAGTAAAATAAAGAGAAAAATTTAAACTGTAATACTAATTTATTTATTAATAATTTATATAATAATTTTATGCATATACTAACTATGTATGAGTTACATTTCTGTATATCATTGATGATTTCTAACAACATATAGGGAATAAAAAAAATATTTTGCATATATTTTTTTATATTAGGAAAATTAATGACACCATGGAAAATTGTTTTTTTTTTGTGTGATATATTTTGTTCATCAGACTAAATTGATGTTTTTGTTGATACAACTACATATGTGCATAAAAGAGAGCAAAAATTGAAATGTGCATGTGTTGTTACATTAATGGAATCATCACTTTAGTCTGATGAAGTCCTAAAGGATAAAACATATTGCACAAAATTTGTTTTTCACTTTGTCATTAATTTTCCTAACATTGTTCTGGTATACAAAAATGTTATTATCATTTTCTCCCATATTTTTGATAATATACATGTTATTTAAATGAAGTAATCTTCAGTATTTTGGATTTTTTACAATTAATATCACAGTAAGATTTTAATTTGAAATGCAGCAATTATAATTTTTGTTTTCTTTATGAAATTATTTGTAAATGTTAAGTTATACATGTCCAATTTAACCAATTTTACTAATAAAGATATGAACATAATAGATTTACCAAATATTTAAAAAGTAAAATGTAAATCATAAAAAAATGTGCAAAATGCAAATTACATTCTTTTGTCTCATGCACCAATATGAAAAAGGAAAAATAAAAATTCATCCTTATGAAAAATATGATTCATAATTTTTATAAGACATTTTATTTGGAACTAATTAGTTTTTAGCAAACATGAATTATGATAGAATATTTCATCCTTACATAACATTTAAAGTGTAAAATTTATGGTCTATTTCTATTCATATTTGATTATAAGCAAACTATTATCTAATCTTTTTACCTACAACCAGAGCATCATGCAACTATACACTTATACAAGTAAAGCATTGTTCTTAAAGTTAAAAGACAGAGTACTGTGACTGAAACGATTACATAATATCAACAACACTACAAAGGCAGTCTGGCTGAAAAAAACATAAAGGTAACAAGTACAATAGTTAAATACATTTTTAGACATTTCCAACAAGACAATTTACAACATGCTGTCAATGCATACATATATTTGTTTAAGCTACATAGAATTGACGCTTGCGTACATTCAAGCAGCAGCAGCACTAGCAGCAAGTGCATTAGCATACATTTAGCCCAAATATGGCCCTTCCAAATACCTAGATTGTCTTCTTTCAATGACTGAACATCCTTCGGCCCAGGAAGTTTCTTTTTTGGTTCAACAAAGATGTGTCCTATGCATGGTACAGTTGGCTGAATTGAATCTAGATGCTCACCCTCATCTTCAAAAGCCAAAATCTCAGTGAATTTCACTCCCTTTTTCTCAACTTCATGTTTTTGATCAGCAAGAGAACCCATTGACTCAATAACTTCAGGTGATGCTGCTGTATCCACTTCAAATCTAATTTCTACTGGAGAATCTATTGTTTGAATGCTTTCAAGTACTTGCTCTTCTTCAGAAGATTTAGTGACATCATATGGCAATGATATTTCAGATTCAATGTGTTCAGCAGATACTTCTGGAATTATTTGAGTTATTTCTTCTCTTATTTCAGGAGTTATTTGAGCAAGTGCTTCAGATTTTGAAGCAGACACCAAAGAGCACTTTTCAGGTAATTCTTCAGATTGTTTTTCAACAATATCAGATTCTTTGGATAGTTTATACAGAAGATTCTCTTCTGGAATTGTCATAGTACTGATATGCTCAGTAGATACATCAGCAATTCCAGGATGAGTTTCATGTTCAACAGATTGTTTCTTAACAGGTTTGTCTACAACTAGAACATCTTCAGCGACATCTACCATTTCAAATAGTTTTAAATCCATTTCTTTCACATCATATTCCAAAGGAGCAAGAGATATCTGCTCGTCATCAGAAAGAAGAGTTTCCATCGGGCTAGGTACAAAGATCTGTTCCATCTCTGATATTAAGACGTCATCAGATTGGGGTTGAACTTCAGTTTCATCATGGATCTTATCTACAATATCTTTAAATTCAGATGAAATATCTTCAGCAACAAGAGATCTTTTTGTATCCATAATAGCTATATTTGTCACCTCAGGCTTTATTTCTTCAAACTCTGTTTCTGTTAATTCAGTGACTTGTTCAACCACTGGGAGAACAAACTCAGAAATTTGAGGAATTTGTTGCTCCTCAGCAACAACTGAAACTTTCTCCTCAGATTTGGTTTCCTCACGAATAGCAACTATAGATTCTGATATTAAGACTTCATCAGATTGGGGTTGCACTTCAGTTTCTTCACAGATCTTCTCTACTATATCTTTAATTTCAGGTGTAATATCTTCAGCCAGAAGAGTCTTTGTTGTAGCTGTTATAGCTATCTTTGTCTCCTCAGGCTTTATTTCTTCAAACTCTGTTTCTTTTACTTCAGTTGATGGAACTTCAAAGAATTCTTCATCAGACAAGGAATCTTTTTTAATGGAGACAACTGCCTCCATGGCTTCAGTATCTATTGTCTTTTCAGTTGCAATAATAGATATCAGCTGCTCTTCACCAATGGTAATTTCCTTTGTAGATGGCAAAGATTCCACTTCAGGCTTTTCTTCCAACTCTTTAGCCTCTTCAATCATTGATACCATTTCAGATTTGACTGAAATCTGAAGGTCACCTGACTGAATCTGTTGCAATGTGACCTTTTCTGTACTTTCTTCAGGTACATCAAATACTTCATCACCAGATTCTTTTTCTTCATCTTCATAAATGAAAGTCTCTTCTACTTTACCAATCAAAGGTTCCTGTTTTTCAGTACTTATTTCCTTAGACTCAATATTGATTGTTATTTGTGAAGGAATATCTTTAACTTTCTCATCAGACACAGGTGCTTCACCTTCTTTTATACTTGTGGTTATCTTTGAAGTAATCTTGGCTTGTTCAACCACTGGGAGAACAAACTCAGAAACTTGAGGAATTTGTGGTTCAGCTGCAACAACTGATATTTTCTCCTCAGGTTTGGTTTCCTCACTAATTGCAACTATAGTTTTTTCTGTAGGAGCCACAGCAGCACTTGTTAATGTAATCTGTAATTCTTCTGATTGTGGTTTCATTTCTTCATGTGGTATCACATCTAATGTTGTGGATTCGGTAAGTTTATCCACTTCTTCCTTTGTGACACTAGTAGCACTACTACTAACAGTAATTTCTAATGGTTCAGTAGTTATGATTTCATCAGCCTTAGCTTCTTCTTCAATCGTTGGAATAATATCAGTAACTTTTTCAACAGCTGTGATGTCACTATCCTCAGAAGCTACAGTTAATATAGAAATAGTAGATAATTCTTTTGGAATTTCATCTGAAACCTTTGGCTTTATCTCTAGATCAGACTTCAATGTAATTGTAGATATTTCTTTGCCAGTTTCTTCACTATCAGCAAGAATAGTTTCCTTGTGGCTAGGTGTAATTATCTGTTCCATCTCTGATATTAAGACTTCATCAGATTGAGGTTGCACTTCAGCTTCTTCACATACCTTCTTGACTGTATCTCTAAATTCAGGTGTAATATCTTCAGCCACAAGAGTTTTTGTTGTAGCTGTTATAGCTATCTTTGTCTCCTCAGGCTTTATTTCTTCAAACTCTGTTTCTTTTACTTCAGTTGATAGAACTTCAAAGAATTCTTCATCAGACAAGGAATCTTTTTTAATGGAGACAACTGCCTCCATGGCTTCGGTATCTATTGTCTTTTCAGTTGCAATAATAGATATCAGCTGCTCTTCACCAATGGTAATTTCCTTTGTAGATGGCAAAGATTCCACTTCAGGCTTTTCTTCCAACTCTTTAGCCTCTTCAATCATTGATACCATTTCAGATTTGACTGAAATCTGAAGGTCACCTGACTGAATCTGTTGCAATGTGACCTTTTCTGTACTTTCTTCAGGTACATCAAATACTTCATCACCAGATTCTTTTTCTTCATCTTCATAAATGAAAGTCTCTTCTACTTTACCAATCAAAGGTTCCTGTTTTTCAGTACTTATTTCCTTAGACTCAATATTGATTGTTATTTGTGAAGGAACATCTTTAACTTTCTCATCAGACACAGGTGCTTCACCTTCTTATACTTGTGGTTATCTTTGAAGTAATCTTGGCTTGTTCAACCACTGGGAGAACAAACTCAGAAACTTGAGGAATTTGTGGTTCAGCTGCAACAACTGATATTTTCTCCTCAGGTTTGGTTTCCTCACTAATTGCAACTATAGTTTTTTCTGTAGGAGCCACAGCAGCACTTGTTAATGTAATCTGTAATTCTTCTGATTGTGGTTTCATTTCTTCATGTGGTATTACTTCCAATGTTGTGGATTCAGTGAATTTATCCACTTCTTCCTTTGTGACACTAGTAGCACTACTACTAACAGCAATTTCTAATGGTTCAGTAGTACTTATTTCATCAGACTTAGCTTCCTCTTCAATCGTTGGAATAATATCAGTGACTTTTTCAACAGGTGTGATATCACTATCCTCAGAAGCTACAGTTAATATAGAAATAGTAGATAATTCTTTTGGAATTTCATCTGAAACCTTTGGCTTTATCTCTAGATCAGACTTCAATGTAATTGTAGATATTTCTTTGCCAGTTTCTTCACTATCAGCAAGAATAGTTTCCTTGTGGCTAGGTGTAATTATCTGTTCCATCTCTGATATTAAGACTTCATCAGATTGAGGTTGCACTTCAGCTTCTTCACATATCTTCTCGACTGTATCTCTAAATTCGGGTGTAATATCTTCAGCCAGAAGAGTTTTTGTTGTAGCTGTTATAGCTATCTTTGTCTCCTCAGGCTTTATTTCTTCAAACTCTGTTTCTTTTACTTCAGTTGATAGAACTTCAAAGAATTCTTCATCAGACAAGGAATCTTTTTTAATGGAGACAACTGCCTCCATGGCTTCGGTATCTATTGTCTTTTCAGTTGCAATAATAGATATCAGCTGCTCTTCACCAATGGTAATTTCCTTTGTAGATGGCAAAGATTCCACTTCAGGCTTTTCTTCCAACTCTTTAGCCTCTTCAATCATTGATACCATTTCAGATTTGACTGAAATCTGAAGGTCACCTGACTGAATCTGTTGCAATGTGACCTTTTCTGTACTTTCTTCAGGTACATCAAATACTTCATCACCAGATTCTTTTTCTTCATCTTCATAAATGAAAGTTTCTTCTACTTTACCAATCAAAGGTTCCTGTTTTTCAGTACTTATTTCCTTAGACTCAATATTGATTGTTATTTGTGAAGGAACATCTTTAACTTTCTCATCAGACACAGGTGCTTCACCTTCTTTTATACTTGTGGTTATCTTTGAAGTAATCTTGGCTTGTTCAACCACTGGGAGAACAAACTCAGAAACTTGAGGAATTTGTGGTTCAGCTGCAACAACTGATATTTTCTCCTCAGGTTTGGTTTCCTCACTAATTGCAACTATAGTTTTTTCTGTAGGAGCCACAGCAGCACTTGTTAATGTAATCTGTAATTCTTCTGATTGTGGTTTCATTTTTTCATGTTGTATCACATCTAATGTTGTGGATTCGGTAAGTTTATCCACTTCTTCCTTTGTGACACTAGTAGCACTACTACTAACAGCAATTTCTAATGGTTCAGTAGTACTTATTTCATCAGACTTAGCTTCCTCTTCAATCGTTGGAATAATATCAGTGACTTTTTCAACAGGTGTGATATCACTATCCTCAGAAGCTACAGTTAATATAGAAATAGTAGATAATTCTTTTGGAATTTCATCTGAAACCTTTGGCTTTATCTCTAGATCAGACTTCAATGTAATTGTAGATATTTCTTTGCCAGTTTCTTCACTATCAGCAAGAATAGTTTCCTTGTGGCTAGGTGTAATTATCTGTTCCATCTCTGATATTAAGACTTCATCAGATTGAGGTTGCACTTCAGCTTCTTCACATACCTTCTTGACTGTATCTTTAAATTCGGGTGTAATATCTTCAGCCACAAGAGTTTTTATTGTAGCTGTTATAGCTATCTTTGTCTCCTCAGGCTTTATTTCTTCAAACTCTGTTTCTTTTACTTCAGTTGATGGAACTTCAAAGAATTCTTCATCAGACAAGGAATCTTTTTTAATGGAGACAACTGCCTCCATGGCTTCGGTATCTATTGTCTTTTCAGTTGCAATAATAGATATCAGCTGCTCTTCACCAATGGTAATTTCCTTTGTAGATGGCAAAGATTCCACTTCAGGCTTTTCTTCCAACTCTTTAGCCTCTTCAATCATTGATACCATTTCAGATTTGACTGAAATCTGAAGGTCACCTGACTGAATCTGTTGCAATGTGACCTTTTCTGTACTTTCTTCAGGTACATCAAATACTTCATCACCAGATTCTTTTTCTTCATCTTCATAAATGAAAGTCTCTTCTACTTTACCAATCAAAGGTTCCTGTTTTTCAGTACTTATTTCCTTAGACTCAATATTGATTGTTATTTGTGAAGGAACATCTTTAACTTTCTCATCAGACACAGGTGCTTCACCTTCTTTTATACTTGTGGTTATCTTTGAAGTAATCTTGGCTTGTTCAACCACTGGGAGAACAAACTCAGAAACTTGAGGAATTTGTGGTTCGGCTGCAACAACTGATATTTTCTCCTCAGGTTTGCTTTCCTCACTAATTGCAACTATAGTTTCTTCTGTAGGAGCCACAGCAGCACTTGTTAATGTAATCTGTAATTCTTCTGATTGTGGTTTCATTTCTTCATGTGGTATTACTTCCAATGTTGTGGATTCAGTGAATTTATCCACTTCTTCCTTTGTGACACTAGTAGCACTACTACTAAGAGTAATTTCTAATGGTTCAGTAGTTATGATTTCATCAGCCTTAGCTTCTTCTTCAATCGTTGGAATAATATCAGTAACTTTTTCAACAGCTGTGATGTCACTATCCTCAGAAGCTACAGTTAATATAGAAATAGTAGATAATTCTTTTGGAATTTCATCTGAAACTTTTGGTTTTATCTCTAGATCAGATTCTAATGTAATTGTAGATATTTCTTTGCCAGTTTCTTCACTATCAGCAAGAATAGTTTCCATGTGGCTAGGTATAATTATCTGTTCCATCTCTGATATTAAAACTTCATCAGATTGAGGTTGCACTTCAGCTTCTTCACATATCTTCTCGACTGTATCTCTAAATTCGGGTGTAATATCTTCAGCCACAAGAGTTTTTGTTGTAGCTGTTATAGCTATCTTTGTCTCCTCAGGCTTTATTTCTTCAAACTCTGTTTCTGTTACTTCAGTTGATGGAACTTCAAAGAATTCTTCATCAGACAAGGAATCTTTTTTAATGGAGACAACTGCCTCCATGGCTTCGGTATCTATTGTCTTTTCAGTTGCAATAATAGATATCAGCTGCTCTTCACCAATGGTAATTTCCTTTGTAGATGGCAAAGATTCCACTTCAGGCTTTTCTTCCAACTCTTTAGCCTCTTCAATCATTGATACCATTTCAGATTTGACTGAAATCTGAAGGTCACCTGACTGAATCTGTTGCAATGTGACCTTTTCTGTACTTTCTTCAGGTACATCAAATACTTCATCACCAGATTCTTTTCTTCATCTTCATAAATGAAAGTTTCTTCTACTTTACCAATCAAAGGTTCCTGTTTTTCAGTACTTATTTCCTTAGACTCAATATTGATTGTTATTTGTGAAGGAACATCTTTAACTTTCTCATCAGACACAGGTGCTTCACCTTCTTTTTATACTTGTGGTTATCTTTGAAGTAATCTTGGCTTGTTCAACCACTGGGAGAACAAACTCAGAAACTTGAGGAATTTGTGGTTCGGCTGCAACAACTGATATTTTCTCCTCAGGTTTGCTTTCTTCAATAATTGCAACTATAGTTTCTTCTGTAGGAGCCACAGCAGCACTTGTTAATGTAATCTGTAATTCTTCTGATTGTGGTTTCATTTCTTCATGTTGTATTACATCCAATGTTGTGGATTCAGTGAATTTATCCACTTCTTCCTTTGTGACACTAATAGAACTACTACTAACCGTAATTTCTAATGGTTCAGTAGTTATTATTTCATCAGCCTTAGTTTTCTCTCAATCGTTGGGATAATATCAGTAACTTTTTTTCAACAGCTGTGATGTCACTATCCTCAGAAGCTACAGTTAATATAGAAATAGTAGATAATTCTTTTGGAATTTCATCTGAAACTTTTGGTTTTATCTCTAGATCAGATTCTAATGTAATTGTAGATATTTCTTTGCCAGTTTCTTCACTATCAGCAAGAATAGTTTCCATGTGGCTAGGTATAATTATCTGTTCCATCTCTGATATTAAAACTTCATCAGATTGAGGTTGCACTTCAGCTTCTTCACATATCTTCTCGACTGTATCTCTAAATTCGGGTGTAATATCTTCAGCCACAAGAGTTTTTGTTGTAGCTGTTATAGCTATCTTTGTCTCCTCAGGCTTTATTTCTTCAAACTCTGTTTCTTTTACTTCAGTTGATGGAACTTCAAAGAATTCTTCATCAGACAAGGAATCTTTTTAATGGAGACAACTGCCTCCATGGCTTCGGTATCTATTGTCTTTTCAGTTGCAATAATAGATATCAGCTGCTCTTCACCAATGGTAATTTCCTTTGTAGATGGCAAAGATTCCACTTCAGGCTTTTCTTCCAACTCTTTAGCCTCTTCAATCATTGATACCATTTCAGATTTGACTGAAATCTGAAGGTCACCTGACTGAATCTGTTGCAATGTGACCTTTTCTGTACTTTCTTCAGGTACATCAAATACTTCATCACCAGATTCTTTTCTTCATCTTCATAAATGAAAGTTTCTTCTACTTTACCAATCAAAGGTTCCTGTTTTTCAGTACTTATTTCCTTAGACTCAATATTGATTGTTATTTGTGAAGGAACATCTTTAACTTTCTCATCAGACACAGGTGCTTCACCTTCTTTTTATACTTGTGGTTATCTTTGAAGTAATCTTGGCTTGTTCAACCACTGGGAGAACAAACTCAGAAACTTGAGGAATTTGTGGTTCGGCTGCAACAACTGATATTTTCTCCTCAGGTTTGCTTTCTTCAATAATTGCAACTATAGTTTCTTCTGTAGGAGCCACAGCAGCACTTGTTAATGTAATCTGTAATTCTTCTGATTGTGGTTTCATTTCTTCATGTGGTATCACATCTAATGTTGTGGATTCAGTGAATTTATCCACTTCTTCCTTTTGTGACACTAATAGAACTACTACTAACAGTAATTTCTAATGGTTCAGTAGTTATTATTTCATCAGCCTTAGTTTTCTTCAATCATTGGGATAATATCAGTAACTTTTTTCAACAGGTATGATGTCACTATCCTCAGAAGCTACAGTTAATATAGAAATAGTAGATAATTCTTTTGGAATTTCATCTGAAACCTTTTGGTTTTATCTCTAGATCAGACTTCTAATGTAATTGTAGATATTTCTTTGCCAGTTTCTTCACTATCAGCAAGAATAGTTTCCTTGTGGCTAGGTGTAATTATCTGTTCCATCTCTGATATTAAAACTTCATCAGATTGAGGTTGCACTTCAGCTTCTTCACATATCTTCTTGACTGTATCTCTAAATTGGGTGTAATATCTTCAGCCAGAAGAGTTTTTGTTGTAGCTGTTATAGCTATCTTTGTCTCCTCAGGCTTTATTTCTTCAAACTCTGTTTCTGTTACTTCAGTTGATGGAACTTCAAAGAATTCTTCATCAGACAAGGAATCTTTTTTTAATGGAGACAACTGCCTCCATGGCTTTGGTATCTATTGTCTTTTCAGTTGCAATAATAGATATCAGCTGCTCTTCACCAATGGTAATTTCCTTTGTAGATGGCAAAAGATTCCACTTCAGGCTTTTCTTCCAACTCTTTAGCCTCTTCAATCATTGATACCATTTCAGATTTGACTGAAATCTGAAGGTCACCTGACTGAATCTGTTGCAATGTGACCTTTTCTGTACTTTCTTCAGGTACATCAAATACTTCATCACCAGATTCTTTTTCTTCATCTTCATAAATGAAAGTTTCTTCTACTTTACCAATCAAAGGTTCCTGTTTTTCAGTACTTATTTCCTTAGACTCAATATTGATTGTTATTTGTGAAGGAACATCTTTAACTTTCTCATCAGACACAGGTGCTTCACCTTCTTTTTATACTTGTGGTTATCTTTTGAAGTAATCTTGGCTTGTTCAACCACTGGGAGAACAAACTCAGAAACTTGAGGAATTTGTGGTTCGGCTGCAACAACTGATATTTTCTCCTCAGGTTTGCTTTCCTCACTAATTGCAACTATAGTTTTTTCTGTAGGAGCCACAGCAGCACTTGTTAATGTAATCTGTAATTCTTCTGATTGTGGTTTCATTTTTTCATGTTGTATCACATCTAATGTTGTGGATTCAGTGAATTTATCCACTTCTTCCTTTTGTGACACTAGTAGCACTACTACTAACAGTAATTTCTAATGGTTCAGTAGTTATTATTTCATCAGACTTAGCTTCTTCTTCAATCGTTGGAATAATATCAGTAACTTTTTTTCAACAGGTGTGATATCACTATCCTCAGAAGCTACAGTTAATATAGAAATAGTAGATAATTCTTTTGGAATTTCATCTGAAACCTTTGGCTTTATCTCTAGATCAGACTTCAATGTAATTGTAGATATTTCTTTGCCAGTTTCTTCACTATCAGCAAGAATAGTTTCCTTGTGGCTAGGTGTAATTATCTGTTCCATCTCTGATATTAAGACTTCATCAGATTGAGGTTGCACTTCAGCTTCTTCACATACCTTCTTGACTGTATCTCTAAATTCGGGTGTAATATCTTCAGCCACAAGAGTTTTTGTTGTAGCTGTTATAGCTATCTTTGTCTCCTCAGGCTTTATTTCTTCAAACTCTGTTTCTGTTACTTCAGTTGATGGAACTTCAAAGAATTCTTCATCAGACAAGGAATCTTTTTTTAATGGAGACAACTGCCTCCATGGCTTCGGTATCTATTGTCTTTTCAGTTGCAATAATAGATATCAGCTGCTCTTCACCAATGGTAATTTCCTTTGTAGATGGCAAAGATTCCACTTCAGGCTTTTCTTCCAACTCTTTAGCCTCTTCAATCATTGATACCATTTCAGATTTGACTGAAATCTGAAGGTCACCTGACTGAATCTGTTGCAATGTGACCTTTTCTGTACTTTCTTCAGGTACATCAAATACTTCATCACCAGATTCTTTTTCTTCATCTTCATAAATGAAAGTTTCTTCTACTTTACCAATCAAAGGTTCCTGTTTTTCAGTACTTATTTCCTTAGACTCAATATTGATTGTTATTTGTGAAGGAACATCTTTAACTTTCTCATCAGACACAGGTGCTTCACCTTCTTTTATACTTGTGGTTATCTTTGAAGTAATCTTGGCTTGTTCAACCACTGGGAGAACAAACTCAGAAACTTGAGGAATTTGTGGTTCATGCAACAACTGATATTTTCTCCTCAGGTTTGCTTTCCTCACTAATTGCAACTATAGTTTCTTCTGTAGGAGCCACAGCAGCACTTGTTAATGTAATCTGTAATTCTTCTGATTGTGGTTTCATTTCTTCATGTGGTATTACTTCCAATGTTGTGGATTCAGTGAATTTATCCACTTCTTCCTTTGAGACACTAGTTTTTTACTACTAACAGTAATTTCTAATGGTTCAGTAGTTATGATTTCATCAGCCTTAGCTTCTTCTTCAATCGTTGGAATAATATCAGTAACTTTTTCAACAGCTGTGATGTCACTATCCTCAGAAGCTACAGTTAATATAGAAATAGTAGATAATTCTTTTGGAATTTCATCTGAAACCTTTGGCTTTATCTCTAGATCAGACTTCAATGTAATTGTAGATATTTTTTGCCAGTTTCTTCACTATCAGCAAGAATAGTTTCCTTGTGGCTAGGTGTAATTATCTGTTCCATCTCTGATATTAAGACTTCATCAGATTGAGGTTGCACTTCAGCTTCTTCACATACCTTCTTGACTGTATCTCTAAATTCGGTGTAATATCTTCAGCCACAAGAGTTTTTTGTTGTAGCTGTTATAGCTATCTTTTGTCTCCTCAGGCTTTATTTCTTCAAACTCTGTTTCTGTTACTTCAGTTGATGGAACTTCAAAGAATTCTTCATCAGACAAGGAATCTTTTTTAATGGAGACAACTGCCTCCATGGCTTCGGTATCTATTGTCTTTTCAGTTGCAATAATAGATATCAGCTGCTCTTCACCAATGGTAATTTCCTTTGTAGATGGCAAAGATTCCACTTCAGGCTTTTCTTCCAACTCTTTAGCCTCTTCAATCATTGATACCATTTCAGATTTGACTGAAATCTGAAGGTCACCTGACTGAATCTGTTGCAATGTGACCTTTTCTGTACTTTCTTCAGGTACATCAAATACTTCATCACCAGATTCTTTTTCTTCATCTTCATAAA